GTTCGAAACGGCGCAGTTTGGGGGGGGGGGCATTTTGCACTTTTGCTACTTCCCATCGACGTGTCGACCTATCTAGACAGCCTCTTCTCGAGTTGACAGGTTTTACCATGATGGCTTGACGAGCTTGCTCCAGCTTCACAAGAGTTCACAGGTTTCACCAGAGTGAGACTGTAAACCGGAACTAGTGAAGCAACGAAAGTGCAAAATGCTCCCCCCGTCGCCGAACTGCACCGATCGTAACTTCTCTAGGCTAACCCATCCTTCCAGCCTCAGGGTTGGTTGAATGGTACCGGGTGCTGTTCGGCCTGGGAGCGTTTGCACTTTAGCTAGGTTATTTTTCTAGATCCTTAAAACTGCGCGTCTCACCTACATAGGTGATACCTGTAGACTCATGTCAAGTGTAACGAAGCTCATGCTATGGCATAGCTCACTGTTAGAAGGATTTTTCTAGTCTCCTCAGATGACGTCAGCAATGATCAGTAAAAACCAGCAAAGTGCACCCAACCTAATTGCGCCTGCTGTCGGTACCGGAATTACATGGGATGATGAACATCCTGACCATCGAGCCTTCAGCTAGCCCTCTCCATTTTGCAAGCCGAGTGAGCCCATTGGACATTTGAGAGAGTGCTACAGTGACCCTGAATGGGAGTGGAATCGTGGGGTCCAATGGGACTGGTCGTCAGAGGAAGAGTTATCATTTAACTTTTTGTAAAATGGATCTTACTCAAAGGCTCCAAAATGGTTAGCTTGACTTCTGCTCTAACTATAGGGAAATGCCACTATTACTTATACAAGAGCTTTCAAGATGTACTTACACGTTGTATACGGGAGATGGAGAGTGTGGGGCTGTTCGGTTTATCCGATCGTTTAGGTGGCTGCGCTTCTGGCGAGATCTTTTCGTGTAGATACAGTTAGAATCATACCTTTGTCCCGCATAATATAGAAGGAGGGTCTTCCAAATGGGAATTATTGGACTACAAACGTATCCTAAGCCATGCTCAAATGAAGTGCGCACCCACGCTCACCCCATCTCCAGAACGTGGAATGCTTGTGCAAGACTTGGGAGACTAGGTGCTCAACTCTGTAAAGGGGTAGATCCTGTTGCCATCTGGTACAATTTCAAAACATTCATGCAAGCATTGAAATCCAGCTTTCCATGAAAATCCTAAGCAAGTGTTATCCCTTTTTTGCAATCACTTTACTTGGAATGGTGTTCTCGCTTACCCTATTGTCAGGGTACAAGGCGCATTCATTTGCATGGTTGCTGCAGAGCAAGCCAAAAGTTCCAGAATCAGCCACAGTCTTTCTTTTTTTAATGTTTCGCATACTCTAAACTTAAACTTTGAGGGGGGGGGCATACTGTACATTCGCTATCCCTTTTGTTGTTCATGTTAAAGGCACAGTTCGCGACCGCAAATTGCGGGAAACGGAACTCAAATAGGCA